CACTAACGTGACGTTTAGGCAGTTCATTTAACTATTATACGTGATTCTAGAAGACGTTTAAAAACTTATAACTGACTCAAGCTTGAAATTAAAAAAACAACCACAGTAGTCTTAGGATTTTATGTATATTGAAACAACAGGTTAAAGCAATAGGAAAGCAACAAAAACAAAACTCGTAACACTAAGCAGAAGCGTCGGAAAAGGGGCGCTGTAGCACCCACACTTTTACATATTTAACTTATATAGCAACTGTAAATTATATCATTATATTAATTTTCGGGGGGCATGCCCCCAGACCCCCTTACGTTGAGCTGTTTTAAGCAGCTCCTTATATTTTCAATCTCTCATTGTACAATCTGCATTTTTAGCCAAGCACCCTCACTTTGCTACTCTTTCCTACACCACTGCTAAGTGATAAATTTCTACGTGGGAATTATGAAGTGCGTTTTGGTTTTTACAGAGATCTACGTGAGCATATAAACGTGGCAACACTTGTGATAAAATAGGACCTGTACATGTATATTCGCAAACCTAGAAATATCTGAAATCGAACTTGGAACGTCTTGTTCTTCAAGATTTCCTTTAAAAGTAGTTTAGATGAGAAATACAAAGTTACACTTGAAAACTTATTCGCTTTTCAGACATATATATCTGCAGTTCTGAAAGATTCCTGCCATTTATTATTCTAAGGACGTAAAGAGTAAAATGTGGATACAGGAACCGGAACACAGGATTCCTTAAATGTTTCACACTTTCTAAAGAAAAGTAAAAAAAAAACGATCTAGGCAATTAAAAAACAACAACAACATACGTACACAAAAATAACATCTAGATGGTTCGCAGAAATTCTCTATAGTTCCTTATTAAGTAAACAGCTCATAGAATATATAAGTAGTTCACAACCAATCAAAAAATTTACAAAAATATGTATAGTGCACAATCAACTAGATATTTCACGGGCTGGGTGTTTGTGTAGTTCAGAGAACAATTCAAAAGGACGTAGGTAATCCACAGAAACATCTACAGAGTTCTCAACCATCTATACAGTTCTCAGTCATCTATACAGTTCTCAACCATCTATACAGTTCACAACCATCTATACAGTTCTCAACCATCTATAGAGTTCTCAATCATCTATACAGTTCTCAACCATCTATACAGTTCTCAATCATCTATACAGTTCACAATCATCTATACAGTTCACAACCATCTACACAATTTACAACCATCTATGCACTTCACAATCATCTATACAGTTCACAACCATCTGCACAATTCACAACCATCTACACAATTTACAACCATCTATACAGTTCACAACCATCTATACAGTTCACAATCATCTATACAGTTCACAATCATCTACACAACTTACAACCATCTAAATACTTCACAATCATCTACACAATTCACAACCATCTATACAGTTCACAAACATCTACACAATTTACAACCATCTATACAGTTCACAACCATCTATACAGTTCACAATCATCTATACAGTTCACAATCAGCTATACAGTTAACAACCATCTACACAATTTACAACCATCTATACAGTTCACAACCATCTATACAGTTCACAATCATCTACACAGTTCACAACCATCTACACAGTTCACAAACAACTAAATATTTTATAGAACATCTGCGAAATTAGAAACTAACCGGGACAGTTCACAGAATATCTAGTACCGGGACAGTTCACAGAATATCTAGTTCCGGGACAGTTCACAGAATATCTAGTACCGGGACAGTTCACAAAATATCTAGTACCGGGACAGTTCACAGAATATCTAGTTCCGGGACAGTTCACAGAATATCTAGTACCGGGACAGTTCACAGAATATCTAGTACCGGGACAGTTCACAGAATATCTAGTACCGGAACAGTTCACAGAATATCTAGTACCGGGACAGTTCACAGAAGATCTAGTACTGAACCATCTAGTTATTTCATAACCATCAAGGTAGATAACAAAACATATTTGCAATTCTTAACCATTTTGGCAGTTTTAAAAAAAATCTACCCAATTTTCTACCATCTAGACAATTCCAAGAACATTTACGAAATTAAAAACTGAACATTCCACTAAATCTAGGTAGTTCGTCGCCGTGTAAACAGTTGACAATCATTCAAGCAGTTCACATCAAAACTGACAGTTCACAAAACCTTTAGAATTTACGCAATTCGCAACCGTATTGGCTTAAACATCTTTCAATTCACAGAAAGTCTGTGTAATTCACGACCATCTATGCTGTTCGTAATACCCAATCAGTTAATAATCATTCAGATAGTTCATAACCATCTCGGCGCTCCATAGACCAGATGTAGTATGATTATATATAAATAAAAAACATTTTGGCATTTCATAGAACAGATGCAGTATGGTTATATATAAACTATGCTAAATATGAACTTGTGTATTTGTGAGAAAGGTTTCTTCGTGAAGGTTTACAATCCCAATAAAATATCTATCAGTAAAACATTATATTAAGAAAAGATTATTTTGTGGAGGCTATAAAGGATATTTTGAATCAATTGTCTTAGGTATATTTTGGAAGAAACAGCCAAAAAGTCGATGGTCAGGTCCGTGCTATACATATCAGATGTACAGAGAAACGACTCTGGGTTATTCATGTGTCACGTGTCCAATATGTATGGAAATTCGACAGGAATATTTCAGGTAGTAGTACAAGGTGAGATATTTCCAATATGTCTGCTTTCTTTGTCTTTCTGGAAAAATTATAAAAATCTAAAGATATCTCATCACTTTAACTATACTATCTTATATTATGTCCTATCCTGCTGAACAACAGCCTTAAAATCAATTTCTCTGGATTATTACCTTTGAATAATACACTTGGGAAAAACTTGTCACACAAAGTAACTATCTGACTGAATACATTTTCTCGGAAACGTTCGAATCTTTAATGGTATTGTCTTGTTTCGGAGTTGACCAGAAGTAGCTTCACGAAGAACTACAGAACTCTTTCGTACAGAAATATATCTGCATATTATAGTAGAAAGGTAATTCTTAGCATACAACAGACTCTTTTTGACAACTTTTAGACAGTGTCATAGGGCAGCCTTGTTTCTCTGGTAGACAAGATATCTACATAGTTAAAATGATTTAATAGTTTCGTTATTGGGAGCTTCAATGGGCATTACCAATGTAAGTCGTCAATGGAAGAACCTGATGTGTCAGGTCATCATAATTCAAGCGACACCAAGTTTTCAAAACTCCGACTATCAAATAACCTCCCCCTGTTATCATCTAGGTAGACACTAAGTTCAAAAACTCCGACTATTAAGTAATATCCCCCTGTTATTATCTAGGTAGACACTAAGTTTTCAAAACTCCGACTATTAAATAACCTCCCCCTGTTATCATCTAGGTAGACAGGTTTTAAAACTTCAAATATTAAGTAGCCTCCCCCTGTTATCATCTAAGTAGACACTATTTAAAACTTCAAATATTTATCATCTAAATAGACACTAAGTTTAAAAACTCCGACTATTAAGTAGCCTCCCCCTGTTATCATCTAAGTAGACACTATTTAAAACTTCAAATATTTATCATCTAAATAGACACTAAGTTTAAAAACTCTGACTATTAAGTAATATCCCCCTGTTATCATCTAAGTAGACAGTTTTCAAAACTTCAAATATTAAGTAGCCTCCCCCTGTTATCATCTAAGTAGACACTAAGTTTTCAAAACTCCGACTATTAAGTAATATCCCCCTGTTATCATCTAGGTAGACAGTTTTCAAAACCCCGACTGTTAAGTAACCTCCCCCTGTTATCATCTAAGTAGACACTAAGTTTAAAAACTCCGACTATTAAGTAATATCCCCCTGTTATCATCTAAGTAGACAGTTTTTCAAAACTTCAAATATTAAGTAGCCTCCCCCTATTATCATCTAAGTAGACATTAAGTTTTCAAAACTCCGACTATTAAGTAATATCCCCCTGTTATCATCTAAGTAGACAGTTTTCAAAACTTCAAATATTAAGTAGCCTCCCCCTATTATCATCTAAGTAGACATTAAGTTTTCAAAACTCCGACTATTAAGTAAAATCCCCCTGTTATCATCTAGGTAGACAGTTTTCAAAACCCCGACTGTTAAGTAACCTCCCCCTATTATCATTTAGGTTACGACAAACATTCTTTCTTCCTTTCCTATCTCAAATGTCAGTTGAACCCCCCTGTTATCATTTAAATATTAAAGTTCAGAGAATGAAAGCGACATAAGACACATTTAAATGTTTGCTTCTAACGTTGCAGTGTGTTGAGTGAAAATAACATTGTTAGAGTTGTGGTTTCAAGTTTTTAAAAAAATAGTCCTTGTTAATAGCATTAACACTTTTACATTTGTTCAGAATCAAGTACTGATGTACGTATGTTTGCGTGCGAAATTAAGCATGTGTTTTTAAATAAATACGTGTATATGCACACAGAAAAACATATGTGTATTGTTTTATTTTTCAGTATTCACTAGCTATTAAATGATATGATATATTTGTTTACTATAGGTATCGGTTACGATAAATAAAACATAGAATAAAGTACAGATTTTGTTTTCTTTATCCTCTTAATTTTTCCATGGCGGTTCGAAATGAGCAGTGTGTAAAATAGCTTTCCAGATCTGTTCTTTGTCTTTCACAAGTCACAGTCCTATAAGCTTTTCGTTCAATATCAGAACCCATCAGTTGGGCTGGACTATGAGAGACAAAAGATCCCTTTTTTTTTGGTCATTTCATTCCAACCCAAGTGGTTGGCAAGCCATCAGATGATTACGCCCTCTATTTGGTCAAGAGATGTAATGAAACTGACGATTGATAGTGCATAATGGAGGTGTATGTGTACCAATTTCTGAAGACTGGCGTGTAGATGATGTTGGGATTTGTAAATGAAGCTTATTTGTATGTCAGAGACAGAACAATTGAAGGAGAGTAGAACGGAAAATAACCAGGTAAATTTTGCAGTGGAAAGATGGGATCATTCACTGGAAATCAGATAACATACAAGTTTAAGAGATGATTAGCTGGTGGCAAGAATTTTCTTGGAGGATAAACATATCTAGATGGGGATATCAGAAAATATGACACATTCTGATAGAGAAAACACCAATGGACATATTTGATGCGAATGTTACGTAGATGTAAAAATATAGGAGGAAGAGTGATCCTTTGTGGGAATTAGAATATTTAATGTTGTCTGTAGGTTATGTGAAAACTAGAAAAAGGGGTATAAATGATGGGAAAAGCAGGAATCTATGCAGTACGACGACAAGTAATACATGTTCGGACAAAGGGCTTATATGTGTATAAAAGAAGGGGTTAAACTACCCCCAGAAGGTACCTGTTGGGCATAACAAAATATTAAGAAGTTGAGTGATTGATAGTCGTCATTTGGGTTTTCAAGCTAGATATATATTGAAGATGATTAATATTGTCAGAGGTCTGGATGGGAACGTTTTCGAACATTCTCTTTTTAAGACCAAAAGTATTGATTTTGTTTTAGTGGCCTTAAGGGTAAGACACCAGGGACAACTCCTAGCCAAAAATGTATTTACTGCAGCCTGAAGAACTTTATCAAGAGTAACGACAGTCTTACGGGTGGCCACAGAGTAGTAACATCAACAACATAATGAAAAATACAGAAGAGTTGATAGAATGGAGCCTTGAGGAACTCCAGTAGAAATATCAAAGGATCGAGAGAGAGTCCTCTCAAGAGGAATAGTGCATGTTCTAAAATGTGTTCGAAAGGTTTACTGAGGACACTAGTAAGAATGACAGAATGATAAGAACTAACATTTGCCGGAGGTTTATTACGTTTTATGAATAGTAAAGCAATATAATTTCTTCCGAAGTCGGAGTAAAATTCAGAAAGAAGAAGAAAGGCATAAAATGTTGAAAGCAGAAGAAGGAATTTAACGGGAACATGGGCCAAGTGTAGTGTTCCTTCGGGACCAGTTGAAGATCCTAGACTATGATAGGTGAATTCACATAAATATATCATCCAGAACATGTGCTGAACTCGGAGTAAGTTCAGGAAGAAAAATATCAGTCAGGTGAAGAACATACGTTCTATATTCTAACTCGAGAGGATGCTGTTCCGGAATTGTAAAGTTAATTTCATGATATAAAGTAAAAACATTAGCGGAAGAATGCACAGCACCACCAATGATCAGAAGGGGAGCACTTTTGTCCAGTCAGGATACAGCACCACCAATGATAAGTAGGGGGAGCACTTTTGTCCAGTAAGGATACAGCACCACCAATGATAAGAAGGTTAGTACTTTTGTACAGTCAGGATACAGCACCACCAATGATAAGAAAGGAAAGCACTTTTGTCCAGTCAGGATACAGCATCACGAATGATAAAAAGGGGGAGCCCTTTTGTCCAGTCAGGATACAGCACCAGGAATGATAAGAAGGTTAGTACTTTTGCCAGTCAGGATACAGCACCACCAATGATAAGAGAGGG